GAATCAATTCATCTATAATTATTTAGAAAAAAATAGATAAAGAGCATATATGTAAAAATTTCTTAAAAATGAAAACTTATTTTCTAGATTTAATTTTATTTAAATTTAGTTGTTAACAATGCAATCCTAGGTAAATGAATGATAATCGGGCAGTATTAAAATAACACAGGTGGAAAATTTATTTATCAATTTGAATTAGAGATCTTTCTTCTGTTAATTTATTACTTTTTCAACATTCTATGTAACTGTTATTTATCTATTTATCTAGCTGTCTATGTCTGTAAGATTTGCAATAATAGCATTTTATAAGGAAATTTATGCAATATAGATCATTTTATCTTCTTGTTTTATAAATTCAAAATATTTCCATTCTGTAAATTATCTATATTTTATAAATGAAGATACAAATAAATATCCCAAGTTTGAAAATGGGTCAATTTACTAATTCTAATACTAGCTCACATTGTGTTTTAGGTATTTATGAAATTAGATAAGACAAAGCAATAGAGATCTAAAGATTATACACGTGGGCTAAGGCTTTGTTCAAAAGGCAGGGTGTTTGTTCAGGATGGGTGAGACCCTTGATTCAATCCGAAGCACTAAAAAAAAGGAGTGGTGTCTTAATTTATAGGGAATATGATTTTATATCTGAAAATCACAGAGAAATGATCAATTTAAAGAATACCAGATATAAGAGTTATGAATGAGCCTGCAAAGAACACAAAAAAGCTTTCTGTTTGTTTGTTTGCTTTGTTTTGTTTTGGTACAGGGTCTCACTACCTAGATTGTACTCCTAGTGATCCTCCTGTTTTCAGCCTCCCCAGTGCTGGGATTATAGGCGTGCGCCAATACGCCAGGTCTCCACGGCTGGCTCACCATCCACAGAGGCGGGGCCAGCATGGCCTGTGGGGCAGGAAATCGAATCCAGGTTCCTGCACTTGCCTAAGCAGGCACTGAGGCTGCCGAGCTGTTTCCTGGACCTAGAACATTTTGTTTCCAGATTTTTGACAGTGATTCCATGAGTATACATGTGGTTAAAGGTGACAAAACTCATAAAACATTAACCAACTGAAAGAAGAAATTCAATTTAAATAATATAATGACTCTAATAAAATAGAATGCTACTACAATCAAAGGGTAGTCATGGGAATAGACTGATAAATGTGATACATGAAATAAAAAATCAAGCTTTTGCTTAGTGAAAAAACATATGGAAGCAGAAACTTGAAACTTATTTGGAAATTATGGTACAGAAAAATGAACTATTTCCTACATATGAAGTGCTTTGAAAGAACTGACCAATATCCTAGAGAAAGAGTATAAAATTAATATGCAGCCCACATAAAAAGAAATACAAAAAGACTTTATAGACAAAAATAGTATTCATCTCACTAATAATAAGGGGAATTCAACTGTGAATTATACTGAGATATTATTTCTGATTCATAGATTGGTAAAACCCCTAAGGGCCAGCCAAATAGCTCAGTGGATTAAAGCACCTGCAAGCAGGCTCTGGGCCCAGGGGTTCGATCCCCGGGCCTGCCATGCTGGCCCCACTGAGACAGCAACTGAGACTGGGCATGGTGGCACGTGCCTGTAATCCCAGCTCTTGGGAGGCTATAAACAGGTGGATCACTAGGAGTCTGATCTAGTAGTGAGACCCTGAACACCCTGCACACCTTTCCCTAAAATTTAGTACAACAACAACAACAAAAAAAGATTCATAAAACCCCTAAATTGGGTAAATACGCTCAGAAGCTCCTGGCTTCTGAGTATAGGTCATTTTACATATTACTGGCTGGAATGCAAAAATGTATTCCCACTAGAAAGGGATATTTTGAAATATGTAGAGAATGACATATGCCCTTCTTTTCGATGATTTCACTCCTAGAAGTCATCTTGAACAGATACTTGCACAGACACAAAGAAATCTTTATCTTTTTATAAAAGAAAACTGTCAATCAAATGTGGAAATCTACTGCGGCAGAAGCCTACAGTGGAATATTATTTAGTTATAAAAAAGAAATGAAGGGGCCAGGGAGATGGCTCAGTAGAATAAGCCCTTGCCTGGCAAGCACAAGGGCCTGAGTTCAATCCCGGTTCTGCCAAAAGGAAAAAAAAAAAAAATAGAAATGAAGATAACAGTATGCTATCTTCACTTGTACAGTGATATCTGTGTGTGAAGTGTTATCTCTGAATGTTGTTAAGAGAAAAATGTATTCAGTAATGTATCCAGTTTGTTCATTACTATTTAAAAGTTGGATACATCCGTTTGTTGATTTATATTTTCAAAAAAGAGCTTCAAAAGATAAATAAAATAAAATCTTCAAAATAATGATCATCTCTAGGAAATGCAATGATAAGTTCAGAACAGAAACCTTTGGAGCCAGCCTCATATGTGAACTGCTGACTACCATAAGGCCTTCCCCTGCAAACAAGACCGCCTTCCATGAGGCTGTGGAGGATATTTATAATTATCAAGCTGATGGATTTCCATTGTCACCCAAACTGATGAGAACATGGAGCATATAAAGATTACATTAAGAAAAGGAAGTAAAACCTTAAACATTTTCTTTGCATATTTACGTGTTGTTGAATAATTTTACAAGAACTAGTTCAAAGTTCAAAATTCACTTGCTAACCGAGGAAAAACATTTCTATTTTTGAAAAACAATTCTGTTGCAAAGTTACTGAGATACTGAAATGCTTGTATTGAAATTTCAGGAAAGAATGCAAATATTTCCTTTATTTCAATTCCTTGATTTTTGTTTTCCTGATAAGAGCAATAAAATGTTGAAAATGACCTGTTGTATTGCCCTCTAGTCTCTTCGAGATCTGCTTTCAGTATAAGGAGTAGAATCAATAATTTGTAACCATCAGTACAGTTTAAAAAGTTGTTGAGATATATGAAGTTACCAGTCACCACTTCCCATTTCTCCTTTATGTTTTTCTATTATTTTTTTCTCCCTCAAAGTGGCTAATTAAAAAAAAAAAAACTATCATAAGACATTATGTTTGTTCACTATTCTCTCAGGCATCTGTAATTAATCCAGAATATTTTTTTTCAACCCTCCATGCAGAATTGTCTTAACTTTCTTTTTGCATGTACAACACTGATATTTCTTAATGTAAAGAAGATAACAAGTGAATATTATTTTTACTTCACAGGAAACATAACAAGGTTATAGAAATTTAACCCCACTTTGAGAAGATAAGAATGTATTTATTTAATGAGTTTCTACATTTAAATTAAAACTTTACCTCTGACTCCATCAGTACAATAATACTATTGTTGGGCCCTTTGTTCTTCTTCAGTGACATAGTTGTCGGTGTTTACTTGTGTACTGAATCTTGCTATTTGTTATGAAAAACTGATTAATTTTATAAGTTCCCACTGTGTTGTACTGGTCTTTATGCTAAATAGTATTTTTTCAGACTCAGAAGAAGTCAACAACACTATTTTAAAATAAAACAAAAGCCAGCTTATCCTAAGTATTTAGCATAAGATAAAAATACACTTTAGCGTGTAGTTGTTTTTTAATGTTATCAGAGAACTGCATGTCATAAAGGATTGTGCATAAATATCAATACATAACTATTCAAAAGAATGACGGAGAATTTTGAAATGAAAATGAATTTTTTTTTTTTTTTTTTTTTTTTTTGGTGGAACTGGGGATGGAATTCAGGCCCTTGCGCTTGCCAGGGAGTCATCTCCCTGACCCCCAAAATGAAAAATTTTGAGTCTTGCAGAAATTAACTGGAACTATACACAATTATTTACTTCTTGCTGTGCCTAACAATATACAATAAAATAGAATTTGTGTTGCATAAATGAAATTGGAATCTCCTTATCTTAAATATAAAGCCAGCTCATGCTTGAGAAATCCTTTTTGAATATTTCAGATATTTGATTCCTTGCCAACTGGGGAATATTGAATCTATCTGGCTCCACCTGAATAATCCCTCCCACTGGGATGGAGAGAGGGAGAGGTAGGGGAAGGGAAAGAGGGGGCAGAGCGCACCAGGAAGGGCATCCAGTTTCTTGAAATTATTTCAGATATCGAATAAGACTTAGACTGAAGGTATTTCTTTTACCTAGGAAAAAGTTCCTCTACAGAGTTAACATGTTTTTAATTCCCGGGAATAACTGTTAATATAATTTGACATGTTTTATAAAAGGCTTGTTATAAAAGGATGTATCATGGATGACAGATCTAAATTCCCAGGTCAGGGATAAAAAGGCCTGTGAGGTGGTATTTATTTCCATTTCTACAGCCACTCAACGCGTTCGTTCCAAGATTTATCGAGTCACTGAAGCACAGCTGCCCATGCAGCCTGCAACAACGACGTGGTTTCTGCCTCCGGGATCAAAGACACGGACATAAGACTGGAAATCGGGGCTGGGGAGGGCAGAGGCTCTGCGGAAAAAGGACTGGAGCCAGCAGAGTAGGTAATCCCGAGCCAGCGGAGTAGGTAATCCCGAGGAGGGTGAGCAGCACCGACGTGGCAGGGAGAGCCGGCCCGCAGCACGACCTCCTGGGAACTCTGCGAGGCCGCAGAGCTCTCTGTGGGGGGCTCCGCCAGCCCGGCTTCAAGATATTAATTTACAACCTTAAGACGTAGGTGGAGCCCACAGGCAGGTAACCAAAGGACCGCAGAAAGCTTTCGCTTGCGCACGTTAGCCGCGTGTCGGAGCACTCGGGTCACGCACGCGTTCTCGGACGTCAGGGCCACACTGCACTCCACCCGTGCACAACCCGTCCGAACCCTGACGTAGGGGCGTGTGCAGTCTTCACCAGCGAACCACTTGCCTACGTTCAAACAGCACCCAGACAAACAGCCGAAGAGAGGACGAAAAGCTCGGATTGGGCCGCCCGGCGGCGCGGGGGAGGCGGCGGAGGCGCGGGGCGCATGCGCGGCCGCGCTCTGCGCACGGGGCGCGTTGCCAAGGCAGCGGGAACGGCGTCGCAGAAGGACGTCCTGCGCGCGTTTGGCTCCCAGACTCCCCGGTGTGGGCCGGCCCTCGCTAGGCTCTGAGATAATCTTGACCGGCGGAAAGCAGACGGAGAGTCGAATGCGGCACAAGTCGACGATCGTTCGCCCAGATGTTGGAAAATTCAGAGGGAGGAAGCATCAGCTTCAACCGGCGTAAGCGCTATGGCACACGTTCCCTCCACTGAAGAGGTACAGAGTCCACTTAGTTCCTCTCGCGGCGGGAGGCCTTGGTCCTGTGACTCTGAGAGCGAACTGAGCACAGGATGTCGGGATGCAAGCTGGAAAGGACAGGAGTCTGAGCTCTCAGACACCAACAGTCTTGAAATGAAATTGAGTAAGAAGTGGATTAATTACCTCAAGGGCAGAGAGCCTAGCTCTGGACGAAGCCAGCCGGACAATAAACTTCAGACAGAAATCACTCAGGTATCCAGTGAAGAACTGCGTGCCCAGCAGTCTTTCTGCACCATGAAGGTAGATGTGATCCGCCACAGAGTGAACTCGAAGGACACGAGTAGCAGACATAGGAAGCGGCAGCTTAGACTGGATGCAGAGGCGTCAGAGCTAGATGCCTTACAGCGTACTGTCCCTGATGAACTTCTGAGCAAACTCTATTTTAGAAACCTTAGCGCAACATTAAAACAAATAGGAGCAGCCAAGCAGCATACCGTGTCTCAGTGTCCTAGCTGTAATAGGAAAAGAGCAGAGTTGGCTCAGTCTGCCTTCCTGAAACAAAAGAAGACTTTACTGGAGTCATTTCTACTGCAAGAGAAAATAGATGAGCATCTTCATACCACAGATTTTCTCACCCGTGTGCGAGTAGCACATCAGGGCCTTCCCCGGCTATTTGACGATCCCAGAATGATCTGGAAAAGACTGATAAAGCTGAGATCCAGTACTGTGGAGTTGAAAGATAATGCTTCAAGCAGATGATGTCGCCAATTACATAAGCAAACAGGAAGTCGTGGTTATCAGTGATCGTTTGTAATATGCATGATGTCCCTGGAGTGTATGTGGGTAGTTGTCATTATTTTTACAGACATTTGCAAACTAGTGTGAGACTTCATTATGTGTCGTTCACAAACTTAAGGGTCAAGAGCCTTCCGTTCAGTACATCTTTTAGAGTGTAGAAGGTGATGTAGTTCGAATAGTTGCAAAACTTTTACAGTGATCCAGGAGAGAGACATTGGTAGTTAGAACTAGGATATTGAGGGTAAAAAGAGAAAGAAGTGCAGTGATGTAAGAGACACTTAGAGGATGGAAATTGACTTTTTGTTGATGAAATGACTAGGGACTTAATAAAAAGAATATGTTAAAAATGTTACTAGATGTTGCACTTGTGTACCTGGGTGAATGATAGTTTCATTAAGATAGGAACTCCAGAAGAGGACCATGTGTAACGGGAGTCATCAATAGTGTAAATATTTGTCATGAGTAGTCTAAGGTCTGTTTGCTGCATATACATTTAGAGGTTGAGGAAACCTTAAGTTGTCTGTACTTGTAGCCTAGAGAAATGGTCTGCAGATATGAAATAAAGGGACAGGAGGGGAAAGTACTGACGTACTTGGAAATTAAAGCTGTAGGTACAATGTGCTGTGCTAAAGGAGCCCAGAGTGAGAATACTGTTGGGTTAGTACTAACTCTTGAAAAATGCTAACAGTGTCCAGGAGAGTAAAGTCATACAAAGAAGTTATCAAGTTGAAAAGAATTTTTTTTTTTGTCTTTTTGAGACAGGGTCTTGTTATGCAGTTCAGGCTGTCCTTAAACTCACTTTGTAGCCCAGGGTGGTCTCGAACTCAGTGTTCCTCCTACCTCAGCTTTCCCAGTGCTGAGATTACAGGTGTGTGCCACTGTGCCTGGAAGAAATTCTTTTAGGAGTGAAGGAAACTATGGATGTGTTGTGGCCCAGCGATCAAGGAAAGATAATATTCCAACCAGGATGGATTATCTTTGTATGTCAGTATAACACAGAGAACACATAAAGATGAAGTACTCATGCACTGAGCGCCCTTGATTTAAAAGTTGCCATTATAGAAATGAGCTAGACAAAGTAGACTGAGGAGTGAATGATTAAGGAGATAAAATGCATGTAGACTGTTCCTTTGAAAAGATTAGCTGTAGTGGGAAGCAGAGTTGAAGCTGGAAGTAGATATAGAGGGGAAGGAAGAAAGCTTCTTGGATCGCGAGAATTTTATGAAATTTCTATTGTTACTTTCCATGTGGAAGAAGCAGTATCATTCTTTGAAGATTGCTATAGTATTTTAAAAATAGAAAACATGGCTCGGGATTTTGAGAAATCAATATTTAATATTATCTCTATAAAAACATAAATCCCAGAATTATGAGTACTCCTTAGAGATCATTTTTCTACTGTGCTATGGCTTATGTTTTAGTATCCACCCAAAGCCTCATGTGATTGTAACTGGGTTTTTCCAGAGGTGGAACCTAGAGTGTGTGACTGTGAGTGCTACCCACCCTGAGTGGCCTGCACAAGATGCACGAGATGGAAAGAGCTGTGGTCGTCTCTTGATTGCCACTTTCTGCCCGCCATGAGCTGCCTCTCCTTGCTATCCCTGTCTGCCACATCATCTTGGATAATCTAACTTGGAGCCAGTGGATTATGGACTGAAAAATCTACAAACTTTTATCTCTCAGCACACTAAAGCACCTACTTAGGCAGAACACAATGGCCAGGGTTCGATCGCCAGCGTGCTGTGACATTCCTGCCCTGTGTGGTGCATTGAGATGGCCATTGAGACTGGGCACTGTGGCGCACGCCTGCAGTCCCTGCGCTTGGGTTGCTGAAAATAGAATCACTACCAGTTTGGTCTATGTAGTGAGACCCTGTAGACCCTGTCCTTAATACATAAGATAAAAAATAATAAATGATTTTAAAAAACTTTTATCTAAATAAATGTTTCTCCATTTAACCTTTAGTTCTGGGTATTTTGTCTCAGCAACAAAAGAGAACTAAGACACCAAATATATTATTTGCAAGTATTCTTTCAATCCACAGGAATTTAAATTTCAGTGAAGTCCAGTTTATCTTTTTTTTTTTTTTTTTTTTTTGATACAGTGTCTCACTACACAGTTTGGGCTTGAAGTGATCTTCCTGTCTCCGTCTCCCCAGCACTGGGATTACAGGTGTGCACCACCATGTCCAGTTTCAGGGTCAGCACAGCCTGTTGTACTGGGGATCCAGCTCAGTACCTTGCACTTGCCAGGCAGGTGCTTAAACCACCAAGCTATTTCTGCAGCTCTATGTCTGTTATTTAACCTATGCTTTTTGGTGTCATATTTAGGAAATGTCAAATCTAAGGTCATGCAGTTTTGCCCTGTATTTTCTAAGAATTTTATAGTTTTGTATCTGATGGTTCAGTCTACTATGGTTTGAATGTGTCCTTGAAAATAGAAAACCTCAAAGGCATATTTTAGTGGTATCGGGAAGTGAAGCATTTGGGAGTCAGATTTGAGTGAGGTCCAGAGGGCAGGGTACCCATGATGTCACTGGTGGCTTTGTAAAAACTACTAGAAGGTGTGCTGTCCCCCATGTAATGCCATCCACCACATTGTGACACAGCAAAACGTCCTCAGTGGATGCTGAAAAGACACTGGTGCCATGGTCTTAGACTTACCAGCCTCCAGATCTGTAAATCATGTAAGCTTCTGGTCTTTTTGCTAGGCAGACGCTTAGACCACTGAGTTTTCTCCTCAGCCCTGCTTCTGGTCTTTTTGTACCCAGTGTCAGGTATTATATTGCGGCCGTAGAAAGCAGACTAAGGTATGTGTTTAGCAAATTTGGAGTTAAATTTTTGTTGATGGTGAAAGGATATAGTTTTGATTCTTTGATGTATAGACATATAATTTTTTCCGCAGCAATTAGGGAGAGACTATTCTTTCTGTATTGAATGGCCTGGGCACTCTTGTTGAAAAATCACTGATTACACAGGTGAGAATTTATGTGTGGACTGTAAATTCCATTCCATTGTTGTTTATAAATGTTTTTATCAATACTGTACTGTTTTGATTACTATGTTTTGAGTTACTTTTGAAAACAAGAATGTGAAATTTCCATCTTTTTTCTTCAAAAGTTTGAAGCCCAAAAGTAACAGATATCCATTTTTGTTCTTTTTTTTCAATGTTGTTGTAGTTATTTGGGGTTTGTGGAGATTCCACATAAATTTCAGGCTATGGTTTTCTATTTCTTCAATGTTTGCATTGCACATTTAATAGAAACTGTGTTGTCAATATATTGTTTTGGGTACTATGACTATATTAATAGTATTAAGTACTTCAAGCTATGGGATGCATACTTTTTATTTATGTGTGTTTTTGAACTCAGCTCACCAGTATTTCGTACTTTTCAGTGTGCAAGCTAGTGCGTTTGTTAGAATGTATTCCTAAGTAGTTGCTTCACTTTTTTGCTATTTTAAATGACTAAAAAATTATTTTATGGGGGTGATTACTTATCTCTAACAGCAATGCGGCTAGTTTTTTTAGCCTGTGACTTTTTTGGAATTCACTTTCCAGCTGTAATGAGATATAGCATCTGCAACGTGGATACTTCTGCATCTTTCTTTATAATTTTGAGTATTTTTCCCTTGCATAAAATTCCTGACTTTCAGTGCTATAATAAATGGAAATTACAAAACCAGTGTCTTTACTTTGCTTCTGCTCTTAGGAGAGGAGCCCTCTGTCTTTCACTTTTAGTAGAGTATTAATGGATTTTTCATGTATGGCATTTTCACACTAAGAAAGATCTCTCCAGTCTTAGTGAATTATATGTTGGATTTTATCACCAGTATTATTGAATTTTATCAGAAGTATTTTTCTGTGTGTGTTGAGAATAATTATGTGGTTTGTGTACTAATGAATCCAACCTAAAATGTTACCTTCTTTTGGTTTATCTCTTAGCTCTCAAACATTTGCTAAACAGAATTAAAGGTGCTGGCTTCCACACTTTATGACATTAATAAAAATTCACAAATAATCAGTACACTCCCTGATTGCGTGCCAGTCCAGGATTACCCTATCCTACACACGTGTCAAAGGTGCCCAAGCACTGCTTCACACAATAGTGTTCAACAAATGCTTCTCAGATAAAAATATGTGTTTCCAAAAATGCAGTTTAATGTTTTCCCACCAAAAGAAAATAAGCTGTGAGTGTGCTGTTGTTTAGCATTATTGTGTCCTCATGTGGCTTTTACCTGTACTTCCGTCTCTTTATACTTTTCCATAAGTTAGACTTCTTTCCAGAATGTATTCATAGTTCCCAGTGAAAATTATCATAAAGGTTTTCTGTAAAGTATCTTTTAAGGTCCATGCCTTTACAAAAGTATTACTTTTTTTCAGAACTAGTACAAACTACTTCTACACAATCCACATTTTTTTTTAGATAGGAAAAGTCATTTGAAATGTTTACTTCATCGGTAATAAATAGCTCTGAAATTTTGGAATGGAGTAAAAAAGTCATGATGCTTAAAGTCGCAAGTTTTTTTGTGCTCGAATATATACAAAAGGAATGAACGTTCCTTCTCCAAACTCTTTATAGCTGCCCCCAAGAGATCCCAGCGCAGCTGACATGGAAAGGCCATCAGAACGGATGCGGAGAAACTACATATTTCCCCAGTGCTCTAAAATTGAGTCTGGTAAATTGGTACAAATTTACACAAGTATAAAATGTGTACAATAGTATATACAGACTACATAAATTTTGTGTTTGCCATTTAGATTTTCTTATTACATTTCTTATTAAATTGTTCATACCTGGAAGCAAACCTGCCCATTGCTCAAATACTACAGTATAAAAACCCCTGAAAGAGAAGTAAGTGATGTGCCAGATTGAGTGTAAAAAAGGTTCAGTCCTGAACATCTGAGTCATTCAAATTCCAATCTCAGAACTGTTTAGGAATGTTTGGGACACCCAGCTCGGAATACTTCATAAGTTAGCTGGTCTCATGATGAAGCCTAATATAGTAACAGCTCTGAGAAGGAGGGCTGTGACTGTGGGTGTGAGCTCTCTTTTGATTGTGTCTGGATGTGACAGATGAATTATACACAAACACTGAATCTGAGAAACCAAAAAGGAAAATATAACTTTGCTTCTGTTCTTGGTTTATGGTCCCCTTCCGAATAGAGAATTTAGAAATTTTCCAATTTTCAGTATACTCAAATTACAGAGAAAATTGCAAAATTCAGAGCAGTTTCTATAGTCAGAAAGCCTCATTTTGATGAGGCATTAATTTAGGGCTAGGAAAAAGTGTGTTGTGGCCAGCTTTGTCAACATTTGCATCAAGATCGGTGATGCTCCACAAGTGCTTTGAAAATATAAAACAGGGTTTTTTTTGCTTTTGTTTTTGTATTTTAGGGAAGGGTCTACAGGGTGCTCAGGGTCTCACTACTAGATTGGACTCTTAGTGATCTGCCTGTTTACAGCCTCCCAAGAGCTGGGATTACAGGCGTGTGCCACCACGCCCAGTCTCAATTGCCATCTCAGTGAGCGCCCCTGCTCCTGGGGAGGGGGGCAGGGCCTGTATGGCAGGCTGGGGGATTAAACCTCTGGCCCTTGCACCTGATTGCAGGGCTTTAATCCACTGAGCTATTTGGCCCTAGAAAGCAGTTTACTATTCACATAATAAAGAGCTTCTGAGGTAGAAAGATCAGGGCTGTCTTTCAGTCAGGTCTGAAGTGGCTTGAAAGAAAGAAAAGCAGACTGGATTGGCTCTTATTAAATTTAGAACATGGGGCTAGGGCCAGCATTTCAAC